GTGAGCATTGGTGGTTCAGTGGTAGAATTCTCGCCTGCCACGCGGGAGGCCCGGGTTCGATTCCCGGCCAATGCAACATACTTTTAACTTTTATATGTTGATGAAGTGGCAGCTGTAGATTGTGTCAGGTGGCACAGGCCCTCCTGTAGGTGTCTTTACACTCTTACAGTTACAAAGACACCTCCTCGTTAGTATAGTGGTGAGTATCCCCGCCTGTCACGCGGGAGACCGGGGTTCAATTCCCCGACGGGGAGAGAGTACTATTTTTCAACATCTTTAACCTCTTCTTTTTTCAGGAGAAATCGAAAAACATGATCCGGACTGAGGTGTTGGGTCTGTCCAGGGAGGAGTAGGCCTTCTGCAGCAGGTAGATGATTGCATCATCAACCCCAACATGGGGCTGATATGCAAACTGCAGGGGGTCTTGTGATGGGCACACCAGCGGTCTGAGGTGTGCCAATACCAGTCTCTCCATGACCTTCATGATATGAGAGGTCAGTGCCAGACAGATTCTGTATTCTTCCAAGTCAATACTGTTGGCTTATGTTGTTGGTAGCTTCTTTGAACACGTCCCGCAAAAACATGTTTTGTCATGTGAGCATTGGTGGTTCAGTGGTAGAATTCTCGCCTGCCACGCGGGAGGCCCGGGTTCGATTCCCGGCCAATGCAACATACTTTTAACTTTTATACATGAATATGCCTGATCAAAAAAATCACTTTTGCTTGTTCAAGAGAAAGAAGGCATTCGTGGCTTTTGATGTGCCAATGTCTGAAATTCAATGCATTTCATAATATGAGCTGTAAGATAGCAACCATTACGGGAAACGTGAGGTCTCTGGAGCACCGCAGGGCTGTGTGCTCAGTCCTGCTCTCTTCACCCTGTTCACTTATGAATGTACACCCATCCACTCCTCTAACACCATAGTGAAGTTTGCTGATGACACCACTATAGTAGGACTGATCTCAGACAATGAGGATTCACTGCTGTGAGAGCCGACAGATACACTATAGCATGCTGGAAAAGCAAAGGTGCGAGGCTCATCATGTACATGAACGACCGCTAGTGTAACCCAGGACATATATCTGTGAAGACAGTCCTGTGTTGTCTAGACATCGAGCTGAATGGCAAACACCTCCTCGTTAGTATAGTGGTGAGTATCCCCGCCTGTCACGCGGGAGACCGGGGTTCAATTCCCCGACGGGGAGTGGATACACTTTTTTTTTCATGTTTTTAATCTTCTCTGTGTGTGTGTGTGTGCTCCCAGACAGCACAGACACACGCACAGGCCTGACCCCCTCCCCCACTCACTTGCTCAGAGACACAGATTATTAGTTATAGTGAGAGCAGCTCAGAGAGGAGGAGGAAACAGAATTAACTAGTGATGAGAGTTTATTAGTTACAGTGAAGAAGAAGCAAAGCAGCGTAGCCGGGTGTAGCAGATTGAAATAGAGTATTGGGTCAGTTGTTGTGGAGAATAGTGTGGGTATGGCGAGTGGGAAAGAGCCAGAGTTAGAAGATGCGCCAGCAGCACTTTATAGGTCTGCTGTGTGGGACCACTTAGCATTTAAAGTGACCTACGACGACGGCGGTAAGAAAGTTGTTGACAAAAGTGCGACTTTGCAGTCCCAGATACATCCGTACCAAGTGAGAGAGTTGGAACTGCTGCTCCTCAACAGAGCGAACACGGACTTTAGCAGACACTCTCGACTGCACCCCTGTAGAAGTTCCTGAGCTTTACCGAAACGTGTGGCAACATTTGTGTTGCTGTTCATTTATAAAGTCATCGATGTTGAATGATAGACACCTCCTCGTTAGTATAGTGGTGAGTATCCCCGCCTGTCACGCGGGAGACCGGGGTTCAATTCCCCGACGGGGAGTAAATACGCTTTTTTTTCTTCAGGTTAATAATCCATAATTTTGAAGTTTAAAATAATTTTGTTAAAAGAAATGTTGTGATAATTATCATAATTAGTGGGAGGTGAGGGCAGAGTTCAAAGTCCTTTTTAAGTCTGATGGCCTGTGGGAAGAAGCTGTTTGCCAGGCGCGTCGTCTTTGCTTTGACACTCCTGTAGTGCTTTCCTGAAGGCAGTAGTTTGAACAGGCTGTGTTAGGGTGGGTGTTGTCTTTCATAATGTTTTGGGCCCTCCTGATGGCCTTTGTGGTGTAAATGTCCTTAAGTGGTGTGAGGGCTGCCCCGGTGATGTGCTGTACTGTTTTTATCAACCATCGCAGAGCCTTCCTGTTCTCCACAGTGCAGCTGCTGTGCCACACTGTGATGGTGTTGGTGATGACACTCTCGACTGCACCCCTGTAGAAGTTGCTGAGGATCTTGGCTGACATGCCAAACTTCCTCAGTCTCCTTAGGAAGTACAGTCTCTGCTTCCCTTTCTTGAGGAGCTGGTGGGTGTTGTGTGACCAGCTGAAGTCCTCACTGAGGTTTATTCCCAAGAATTTGAAATTCTTAATTCTTTCTACCTCAGTGTCACCTATGTACAGTGGAGTGTGCTGCTGTCGCCTCTTCCTGGGGTCAATAATCATTTCCTTAGTCTTCTCAGCGTTTAAGGAGAGGTTATTGATCTGACACCAGGCAACCAGCCCAGCCACTTCCCTCCTATACGACGTCTCCTCCCCATCTGTCACCAGCCCGATGACTATGGAGCCCGATGACTATGGAGGGCGACTTAAGTATAAATAAAGAAATGTGTAAATAAATAAATAATTTGGGGAAAAAATGTGTAAATAAATAAATAAATGTCTTAATTTTATTTACACATTTATTTATTTACACATTTCTGTATCATATGCAAATGACACTCCATAGATGACTGTGGTGACATCAGCAAACTTTATGATGGTGCTGCCAGGCTGGGAGGCGTGAATTGAGAACACAGCCTTGGGGGGTTCCTGTGCTCACCGTCCTGATGCTAGATGTCTGCCCCCCCACCCTCACCGAATGTGGCCTGCCAGACAGGAAGTCCAGCACCCAGCCAGAGAGGGAAGGTGTCTATCCGATTGACAGCAGCTTCTCCAAAAGCCTTTGTGGGGTTGCAGGGTTATGTTATCAGTGCAGGTAGTGATATAGCCAGTCACAACTGCAGTGTACTCCTCTAAGTCCAAAGAGCTTAGTGATTGAGACTAAAACCGTTTCTTGAACCAGGTTGGAAACAGGTTGATTTCTGCGAGGATGCATTTGGCCCCGAGTTCACTCAGTGCAACAGTTTCAGCGCTTCCCGCTGATACATCAACAACTAAGTCCACCACCACTTATACACAGCCGACAATAATGGGGGCCTTTGGGAAAACAACGAAGTACAAAAGGGACATCTGTGCCAGAAGCTCGCTGTCTGAACGGGTTTTCAGCACCGCATGAAAACCTGTAGCCTGACGCGCACCTCCAAAAAATCCTAACTACGAGTTGCGTTGACGCGGACCGCAAGCGCTATGATTGGTCCGCTCAGAACGGAGGGCCACTCGATAGAGGATACAATAATTTCTTCAAGGCCTCGTTGGCGCAGTAGGCAGCGCGTCAGTCTCATAATCTGAAGGTCGTGAGTTCGAGCCTCACACGGGGCATTCTTTTTAAAGCTCATAGTTGTACCAACACTATGATTACTGATATACTTGCCAATGATGATAACTCTTGAGCTTCTGTAGAATCTGCCAGGCGGCAGTTTGGGACAGGCGTTTAATTTCTTTCTCACAAAATCCATCTGGGCAATAGTTGTACGTCTTCTGCAAGTGAAGTTGTTGCGGCGGAGGAAACGATTTAGCCAACCAGCACTCACGGCAAACTCCTCATCTCTGTTGTCACTCACGGTGGCGTAAATTTGCTTCGCCACACACATTTCTGTTTTTATACTTACTATTATATTATACTCTGTGGACTGTGTAATATCTAACACTGTCTAGACAGTGAAGTGAGGGTTTGTGTCATGTTTGCGATGTCTAAAGCCTAGTTTATTCTGTCGTTGAGCATTCGAAGTTCTGCGTCATGTCGCTAGGGGGGTGTGGCTGTGTGTTTGTGTGGTTATAGCCGAGTCCTCGCTTTTTCTTTCGTAAAGTAAACAAAAGTAAACAATGGCGACCGAGGTGGAGCAGCTGTATTTGGAGTTGGAGCTCATCAATATTGAAGAACAAATGCTTATTTTGCAAATGTTGAAGCGCAGGCGACAGAGAAGATGTTTGCGGAGGTGGTCTGTACGACGAGGAAGAAAGACCGGAAAAAGCAACTGCCGGATCTTACGTTCTGAGCGGACCAATCACAGCGCTTGCGGTCCGGGTTAAGGCGACGCGTAGTTAGGATTTTTGGGAGGCTACGGCGTAGACGCGACGCAGAAGCATAAACTAGGCTTAACGTGACACATCTGGGAAAAAGAATGCCTCAACCCAGAAGTAGTGGCGACAGTAATTCTGCAGTAGCGGGCCACTCCGTAGAGGATACTATAAATTTTTCAAGGCCTCGTTTGCGCAGTAGGCAGCACGTCAGTCTCATAATCTGAAGGTTTACACGAACCACAAAACTTGACAGACCTGAACAGTACTGAAGTTTACTTTGTGTATGCCTGTTTGCTTGCCTGAGTTTATGAGACCATACTTCTTCGTAAAGATAGTATCGATTTTTTGCCTGTGTTTTTCACACATTTTAGGCCTCGTTGGCGCAGTAGGCAGCGCGTCAGTCTCATAATCTGAAGGTCGTGAGTTCAAGCCTCACACGGGGCATATCTTTTACATAATCATAGTCTATGTATATCCACAAGTTGAATAGTCAACCTTTCATTGAAGTTCAGCCAGTTAATTTGCTAGGCAAATAATAGTGACCTCTGCTAAAGAGGTAACGGCCTTACTTGGGGTGCTATGCTAGTGCCTGTTCACTTTGTGCAGAATAGTGTGAAAGGTAGTTTGTTAAGTTTTAATGGACACTTTTTGCTTAATTTCCAGTGGGAACTTTTCCACAATCCACGATTAGAAAGTTAAAACCCCAAACACATTTGTCATTTATGGGAGAAAAAAGTGAAGAACTAAAATTATCTTGAGTCACATTGTAGCCCTACAGGTGGTAAGACTCTAGATTCTCAAATCAGGTGGACTGTCAGTTTGAGGAGGTGGGAGTCAGTGTTTCTCCACTTTCACTGATGTGGGTCTTAAATGTCATGTTTTTGTTTCCATAATAAGTCTTCTGTTGATGTGTATGTGGTAGTTGTTGCTAAGAGGAAGAGTTAATAATGATGACAACTGATGCATGAACCAGATGATCACATTGTGTCTGCAGTGATACATTTCTGTAAAATGTCAGTTATTTTCTGTGAAGGGCAAATTGTTGATGAATTTTCTAATGTGTTACAGCCATCCAGATCCACAAAGGCAATGAACGAGATATGAGGCTTTCCCAAAGTCAACAGGGAACCCTCCTAGGTGGGGCCACAACCAAGAAGCACCTTTGTACTGCCCTTCACAAGTGGAGACCAAGGGATTTTCACTGGCCACTGTGCCCAATTGAAATTGGCAGCAAAATACAAAATTCTCATTCTGTGTGTTTCGTGCCTTTTATTGTTACATGTCATTACGTATCCTTCTACATAAAGATCTTTCATAAAGATCTCAATTATTAAGCACTGTTTCTTGAAAGATTTCACAAAAATGTCTTGTATATAATTTTGCTACCTATTTCTAAGTTATGATTTGCTGTGCCACACCATCACAGTGTGGCACAGCAGCTGCACTGTGGAGAACAGGAAAGCTCTGCGACGGTTGATAAAAACAGTACAGCACATCACCGGGGCAGCCCTCACACCACTTGAGGACATTTACACCACAAAGGCCATCAGGAGGGCCCAAAACATTATGAAAGACAACACCCACCCTAACACATGAATAATAAGCTGTTCAGGGTTTTAGTCCTTCTCTTTGTATAAGCAATCTTGAAATGATTCTCAAAGAACAGATCTTAAGAGATGCTGATGTACTTTAAGTGTCCTGCGTCCATGCAAACGAAAACACTGCCTGAACACACGGAGACTGTCCAGGAGCAGTGTTGAGGATGAACGTTTACAGAAAGCATGGCTGAAAACATTCCTCTGTTTACTTTCTGTGGTTTAAACATTACGCAACCTTTGGAATCAGACTTCAGAGTGGAACTTTCCTGTAACTCGCCCTCCCCTACAGGTGCATGTGATGTGTTTATGAATAGCTGTGATGCTGACATGTTAGAAAGGCTCAGGCAGGCGTGTCTCAACTCTTGACATGGACTTTACTTCGCTCTGACAGTACATACTTGCTATATATTATGTGTAACATGACAGAAGGCAGGTACAACAAAAAACTAAGGGGTTGATGCTATGTAAGATCTATAGGAGGGGATTTGTTCATTAATTTGTATTGAGCCTCGAACCTCTGGTTTGACTTCAACAGGCAAAACAAGTTATGTTATGATTTGTGTGTTGAATGGCCATATTGACAACATCTATACATAGTAATATGTCAACCTGTGCTTAGAACAGAATCAAAGACCCAAATTTGATAGGCCGCTGTTTAGTTTGCAAAGCTCACATAATGTACAGTAGCACTTCCCAAACACTGGGGTCCCTGGAGAAAAAATAAGCAACCCAGAGCCTCATGCTGCCTTCAGTTACTCAGTAAAAATTGTAAAATTTACATTCTCACCCTTGTTTACATGTACTTAGTTCATTTATGTTTCTCATTGAAAGTCTGGTTATTATTTATTTGTGTTTTGTTCTTTCCATGTTCTTTCACCACATTTATAAGATAAGATAGTCTTTTATTTTTCCCACAATGGGGACATTTTCAATATTAAAGTGGCAAGAGTCTAATAAGTAACATGCAGTACCACATACCTTTACCTTTCTTTAAACGCTAAACAACTTCAGCAACTTTGCACACTTGTCTCTAATTCCTACTTTGTATTTACTATCATTTATAGACTTATTTGACGTTCCATTACATTTAGCACTTCACTGTGTATTCTAGCACTTTTTTGTGTATCATTTACTTACGGAGTATGTACAGTTTTGGGCACATTTTATGTTTATTGCAATCTTTTTTGATATACATCTATCTGTCTATATTTTGCTTATTTATGTTCAATATCAGAAAAGATAAAACTTTATTGATCCACACACTGGGGACATTTATATCACAGCAGCAGGCAAGTCGGAAGGAGGAAGTAAAGACGATATAAAAATGCATGTAAATAGATATTAAAATCAAAACAATTAGATATGAAAAAGATCTTTGCATATTCCACGAATAAATAGATCGCACAATTCCGATGGACATGAATGCTGCACTGGGCCAGAGCAGCAGACAGACAGGCGCATGCGCAATGAGAGTGTTTGCAATCCTCCCTCCCTCCTCGGAGCCTGACAGCCCGTTAGCTGCTGCTGCTCGCCGGCAATGAGACAGCAAACACGGACCCGGTGACACGACCAGAGATGGACTTAGCGACCACTTTTACCCGCTGCACAGACGGACACCACCCACGCACGGCCGCCTGCTAACTGGAGGGGAAGCGTATTCACCCATCGCCAGGTTTGTTTTTGTTTCGTGGAGACTCGACGCCCGGGAGAGGAATGGATGCCGCTTTTCCTGCGACATTCACCGGCCAGCTACGAAGACCACTGGAGTGCACGTCAACGTGCCAGGAGCTTCACCGATCTCTATGTGCCTGATTGCTAACGTTAATATCGAGGAGACAATCGTTGTAGTCAGTAAAACAAAGCCAAAGCAAGTTCTAGAGGAGCGTGGCTAATGGCTACTGGTCACCCAACACGGCATTAAGCTAACCAGCGGCTAGCTAGAATTCACCATTCTTTGTTTGCTTAATAGCGTCACTGAGTACAGTCAGGAGTTGGATTAATACTTGAGCTAAGAAGAAGGACGCTGCCCATACGTGCTTCTGCCCTCAGGGTGTTTAGCTTGATTTTAAAGGATATAAATCATCTGACTTCTCACTTATGGCTCGGTAGTATCGCGGTACTACAGCTGACCCAGCTAACTAGCATCTGTTAGCTGGTAGGTAACGCAAACAGCCGCCGGTCACTTCGTCTTTGGCTTTTATTAAATCCTCGACGGTGAAGATGCACCACCAGGACTTTCCTGGAGACCCGGCCGGGAGCCGGAAAACGGCATTCCACTACAGGAGGGGTAGCAGCGGTGCGTCTACCCCCCCCGCCGCCGCTGGCAGTGGGGTCAACGCGGTGGACGACAATGTGATCCAAACTGGATCCTCCTCCCCGGGACTTCACCACCAGCCCCAGTCCCAAGTAGCTGGTGCTCAAGTGAAGAAGAAGAGTGGTTTCCAAATAACAAGTGTCACTTCAGCTCAGATCAACGTGAGCGGCAACAACAGTTTAGCAGATGACACTGAGAGCTATGATGATATGGATGAGTCGCACACTGAAGACCTGTCCTCCTCCGATATGCTGGATGTGTCAGTGTCCAGGGCCACGGACACAGGGGTGCCGGAGAGAAGCTCCTCTGATGAGACATTGAACAGTCTCCATGGGGTCGACACCCCCGGACTTGCGTCACCCAACGAACCCCTTCACCCTCATTCCATCCCTCAGGGGTCTCAGCAGCACAGCTCTATAGTAAATGGGACCATACATCATCAATATTATCCTCAGCAACAGAGCCAGTCCCACCATCATCATTCTGACAGCTTGGGAGGAGGTGAACCCCCAGCACTTGCCGTTGCTCCTCTGGCTAGCTCCAGCCCATCTATGGCTTCCAAAGCAGGGCCTAGTAAGTCCCAGAGGACACTGGTGTTGGATAACACAAAACCTGCAAGTGGGACAAGTCAACCATTAGCCCCTATGGTTGGTGGGGCAGCCACTGATGCACATCTACTGGGCAGTGTAAACATATCTAATGTGACTGGTGTCACTGCTGCTGCAGCTCCTCCCTCTGGGTCTGCAGGTTTTGACAACACTAATGTAAGTGGTCAAGTTGCTTCTGGTGGAGGAGGAGGAACAGGACTGTGTGCTGCTGCCCCAAACACTCAAAACCAGCACACCCAAACCCAGACAGTTACTGGCTCTCGTTTTAGGGTGGTCAAGCTAGACACCAACTCTGAGCCCTTCCGCAAGGGAAGATGGACATGCACTGAGTATTATGAAAAGGAGATTCCTCCTCCAGCTACATCCGAGGCACCAAAAGGTGCAGAGTTGGCAGCAGAGACTGAGGCAGCTGCAGGTGGGATTAATCCAGGTATCCCTGCTGTTCAGCCACCTCACACACTGCAGCCCTATCAGCAACCGAGCCTGGACTTCACTAGTCCTCTAGCCATGCATAGCCCTTCACAGGGACTGGTCCAGACTACTCCTCTGACCTATGTTTCACCCCAAGAGGTTGTTGGTGGAGCTCACGTGCCTAAACCCATGGCACCTGTCACTCTTCCTACAGCAACACCACAACCAAGTGGAAGTCAGCCTATGCCTGTCATACCCCACCAGTTGCCCTATTCTGTGGACCCCCACCAGGCACAAACCCAGGGAGGTTACCCAGCACCTCAGCTCCATGCAGGGGTCATGACCCAAGGAAGCATCCGTCAGCCAGACTTCATCCAGCCCACTGCTCCCTTCCAGACTCAGGTCCAGCCTCCTCTGTCACATGTTACAACGGGAATCCCCACAGTACCAGTTCCAGGCCTCCCTGCACAGCCAGTAGTCAGCATTACTCAGCAGCTGCCCCATCAAGGTCAGATAGCCCCTGCTCCAGGATCTTTTGTTGCAGGACAGCCACAGACCCTCCCATCTCAACCCCTACATCACCAACAGCCACAAATCCAGCCCCAATCCACTGCCACAGTTCCAGTTGTGCCCACTTACGGGAGCCCCTACATGCCTCTGACTGCACTGCAAGCTGACCTCCAGCCCATTCTCACCCCAGGCACGACCCTCACCCACGTCCCTGTAGGAGGGAGCTCCATAAAAACCTCCCATCTGGAGGACGCCCAGAGGCTTCTGCTCCAGCACCAAGGCCTGCTGGGCCTTCCCAGGCTGGCGGTGGCAGTAGGTGGAGACAGGGGCTTAGAGGCCAGCGGTGCTGCTGGAACACTGGCCCACATGGGGATGTCAGCTGAAGCCAGTGCCTTAATGGTCGCTGCTGCTGCAGGCCTCAGGAGTCAGCATGCTGAAGGAGAGGAGGACAGGTGAGGATGGGCAGCAGTGCTGCCAAAGCAGTCTTTTCTAATGAAAGCTGTTATTCAGATTAAATTGAAACTACTGTACTTTTTATTGTTGTTCAAGCTGCAGCTGATATACAATATTTTTCCATATGCTTACTATAAAAGTTAAATAGAAGTGTGTTTGCCCCATCACACCACTGAAGCAGCCACACATGATTTACAAACTCAAAGTTTCTTGCTGCTTAGCTCTGCATGAAACTGCACCCTGCAACTGGTTTTCTGTCATTCAGATCTACATGTGCTTGATCCCCTGTCCCCTGAGGTTGATCTGTCAGTGGGACAGTGGGAGACAAACGGCTCACTCCACATTGCCTTTGCAAGAATATCAGTGACTGGAATGGCAGCAGTGGAGCTGCTGAGTCACAGAGGGTGACTGGTGACTCAGCACATGCACTGCCCTGGTCGACCCCCTACCATTACATATTTACCTCCTTTATCTCAGGACTGTTTTGTCAGGAGAGCTAAATTTTATCTGTTGCACAGCCTAAATCTATCCCTCCTCTCTCTTTCTTTCACAATTTTACCCTTTTCCCTCTTTGTCCCTTAGGTTTATTCTTTTATTAGACACTTGATATTTTTAATTGAAAATATGCTGTGTTGAAGGGGTGTTGATTGTGTTGCATGATGAACTCCAGCGGCAGCTAGTGTTACTACAGTTCTGTTCTTGTTAGGCAGGATATTCATGTTGTGAGTACAACAATGATGACAGCAGGGTATCAAGGGAGTTAAACTGGGCATGGTCAACCTCACCCAAGAACCCAGAGCTAAAAATATACAGCATAATCTTGGATGTTGTGGCTTTATTAAGCTGTTCAAATGCAAACTTGAAAAAGTTAAACACGTAACTGTACGTCAGAGCTGAAACTCAGAAAAAGAGTAGCTGAGGAGTCGCAGAGTGAAAAAGAAAACAGTTGTAATTCACGTGTTGTCACAATAAGTTGTTGATGCGGAAGTACGAACTCTATGCATTTTCAACTGGTCAGATTGTATCTTGAGAGACAGGGTTCGATAACTGCTGGCTTAGTGTTGATGTGGTCTGAGTCATACTCAGCTGCAGACAGCCGGGCTCTATTCTGTGGGGAGGCTTTCGTGGCACCTCATCATTGCTACGTGTGTGTTCTGCATGGCATCTACATGCCTTCTTCTGTATCTGTGTTTCTGTAAATCCGACCTTTTCCTGCAGTGAATCGGCCTCTGTCCTGCGGCTGCAGACGTCTTAGTCTTCGTGTGACTGTATCTGCTTTGTTTATATTCATGGTCACGTCATGCTATGATCCGGCTCTGCGCTTCTGTTACTGTTTTCTTTCAGTCTCGTATCGTGTTTGTCTCCTTTGTCACCCTGTCTGTCTTTCTCTCGGTCTTCCTTTTCCTTTGCAGACCCTCTTCTTTCAGACAATAGTCCTGTCTTCTCTTTGCACTCTTAAATCATTTCCCTGCATGCACATTCAGGCCAAATCACATGCAGGTTTTTCCTCAAACCATTAGGCATGTGCACCCACATTTACCGATAACTGAAAAGAGCACAGTGTATATGAATAAGTCAACAGCCAGGTTGTCCAGTAACAGCACCTCTATCAATATTGACAGTAAAGCAATCCACAGCAGAAGGATTGCGTTTTCCTACTATGGAAACAACATGAATGAGTTGACTGGGTTGATTGCTGCAAAAATCAGTCATATTCACTCTCAGGTTTAGTTAGTAGCTTGTTGCAGATGTCGGGACGATGAAAACCCTCAATCGTGTGTGCACGTTCTAAAGCCCTGATGTGAAGGTGTGTCCGTGTTTGCTCGTGTCTTTTCACCAGCTTGCTGTAGGTTTCTGTATGTGTCAGTGGGAGTACTCCAGGGCAGTGCTGTCATCAGGTCTTCATGCTTCCCCAGGTGGAATTTCAGCCCGAAGGCCTGTGGATAGCTAGGTGCAGAGAAAAAAAAGTTACAAAACACATAAACGATTTCATATATATTTCATACCTGCCATATGTAAATGTTCTGTGTTCCAACTTGTAGAGAAATATGAATTTGCTCAAAGGCTGCAGATAATTAACTTGCTGTTTGTAGCTTTACAAAGAACAGCAGGCAGAGCAACTCAGTATAGTCTGCAGAGCAAATACTGACATGAGCTTTATCCAAACCTATCGCTTACCTGTGTGCATGTTAACACTCTGGTTTAAGGCCTACCAAAATGCATTTTTGTCCTGCCAAAAATGAAATGAAAGCATGTGAATCAAGTGCAGATATGTTGATGTGTCACTATCCTTTTCACAGCTAAGAACAACAAGTCAAGGTGTCATAGTACAGTAGCGCTGTATTGTATATGGCAGTTAATCCGTATGACCTCATCCTTTGGAACCATTAAGGTTACAGATGCACCATAGAGATTGTTTGCCCATAAAACATGCACATGCCGTTTCTTGACAGCTTTACAAGAGCAGCTAATTTTTATGAAGTTTCTCTATATTGCTGTTTTTGCAGTAATGCAAGTGTGAATACAACCAAGCTGTCACAACATTAAAGGTTGAAGGCAAAGTGAAGATATAATCATCGATCAATTAATCAATCAGGACTTTCTTTTTTAAAAACCACTCTGCATAAACTGATTTAAAAGGGAGGACTCCTTTTGTTGTATTACAGACTAAACACATTAGAGAGGGAGCTCACTCAAAACGGAATTTGCAGTACTTAGAGCTTATGTGTTCACAAACTACGATTATATTAGAACCCTCTGTCCTCAGTAGATGATCAGACACAGATTAGAGCTCCCTTTACTTCGTTTTTTCTGCTGCAAGTATTTACAGCACTTACTGAAAATGTAGTTTATTGCTTTACTTGGCCTTTCAAGACTCTTTGAACTAGGGATGAAAGATATGGCCAAAGTAAAAGTATAATTTTTGCCTCTGAGCGAAGGCTGTGGTTTTCAACTTTTCTTTATTAGCAGAGAATGACACGTGACACGTACACCTTTCATGCATAAGCCGTTGGATTTTTTTATATTGCTATTGACGGACAATTATTCATATTGTTTTATTGCACGGCCCTACTTTGAGCAACACATTTTATCTTTGTGTTTGTCGGCTTTCATATTAGGGCTGACTCAGAGATTTGACCTGTTGAACCATTAAAGGTTTTGTGTGAGAATGAAAGCTGCTATAATATGGTTGACTCTGTTGATTATAAATTTTCTTTTGTGGTCATAAGCTGCCTGTCAGGAACTGTAGTCTTACCGGCTCTACCTTGTGATATATGTGTTCTTGTTACTGTCAAGCTTGTTTTTAAAAGGCTCGCCATCCAAAATGGAGCTTTTACGAGGCGACAGGTGGGAAATCCCTGGTGGCTAAGACCAAATATGGAGTTTCTGTCAAAAGGAGAATTTCATGCCATGTGATTAGAAGAAAATCCTCTTTAAAGGTTATAGATATGAGGTTGTATGTAAAGATATAGTGGCGTAATGGTGTCCTCAGAGGAAACAAAGCCACACTCCCTTTGCATGTTTAGTAACTTTAGCCTCTGTTTCTTTGTCCCGGGTGCACGTTAGTGTTAATGCATGTGGGTCCCTTCCCAAGTTCCTAGACCTCTAACTCTGTTGATGGTTAATGTTTAAAACTAAGTGGTGAGTCATACAAAACATTAGGGAACCATTGCGCATGTGAACACACCCTAAGATAAGAATGTCGGATGGTTTAAACAAGCAGAAATGACTGAGCACAATAAAGATGATAACAAACTGCCACTTCAGTTAAAAGTTAAAAACATAATCCCCTCTGAATTAAATTCATGTTCTACATGAGATGTCAGAGGCTTTGAATCAAACTCTCAGATGTTGGCATGTTCAAGAATATATATTAGGTTTGTGTGCAGGTCAAATTTAAATTGTCTTGATTGTTAAATTTCTGTAAAAACTCTTCAGCAGCAGTATTGATGGTCTATAAATCCAAATGTCTGATTTAAGTTGGTTTAATGCATCAAACCGACCAAGTAAAATTTGCAATAAATAATATATTTATTACAAAGCTTTCACACCTTGTATTGACATTTTATATGAGACTTAATTTATAAACATCCTTTTGTAGAAGGAAGGATTTAGTTTAGGGAAATGAAATAAATCTAAAATTAATTAAGGAGGATATTAACCTTAACTTTATCTTATAAATTACTTGACAATGTATAAGTAACAGAAATCGTAGTGTGGTTTAAACGCAGGAGACACTTGTGATATGTCGTCATTATTCCCATTTGACAAATCCTGACACTGAAGGTCGGACTGCAGCTTTGTGACACAACGTGTTGCGTCTAATTTCCTTGGTGGCATCTCCTGCCTGTCAGCAGCCGTTAATCACTGCGGAAGGTTCTTCGGGTCATTAGTGTGGTAATGAAACGTGACATTAAATCATCCTCCAGCAGAGACATTAACTTCACTGTCTTTCCACTCTTTCATGTTGTTGGATTGCTGTTTCACCACAAGGTGGCAGTGTTGGCTCAGAAATCCCCTGCACCAGGTCGTCAGTGGTTTATATAATCTTGGCGTGCATTGAGAATCAGTGACCTAAAATGTGCCTTGCAGCTGAGTTGAAATGTCCTTCTTGCACGCAATGAAAAAGTCACGTGTGAATGGTTTTATATCTGCAGCTCTGTGTAAAGACCTACTTCCTGGCTGCAGAAGACAAGTGTCATATCATATTTCATTTGACAGACTAATAAATGAGTCAGATTATTAAACTGAAAATCTTATTCTGGATTATTTATTGTTGCATTTAAAGAAATTAATTTGTGTCAAACCTACAGGGTGTCCTTAAAAGTTTTACATTTAATGATCTGAATATTTAGGTCTTAAAAAGGTTGAGGTAGGTTTAATGATGTTTACATTCATTTTAATCTACTTCAGTCGTGCTTTAAAATCAGTTTTAGTAATAACGTGTCTCAAGGGTTATTCTCTACTAGAATACTTCTTACGGTCGTCAATTATGGGT